CCGACTACCCAGAGGTTGACCTAATCATAGGAGAATTTTCGTTAGACCTAAAATACGCATACGGCATAGTTCTGTTAAATGAAGGCGCTGACAAGATGCAGAGTCTTCTGGACAATTTGAGTGGCAATCTGAGAATGTTTGTGATGCGTTTCTCACCACCGAAATGCGAACTGTTGCTCCGGAATTCGTCTTCAACGGTGCCCCACTGCGGCTTACAATAGAGAGTGAGTGTAGTGATTAAGTGTGTCGACCACTTCACTTACCTGAGAAGTGGGATCAGCCCTACCCTGGTGACTCAGTGGCCGACGAAATCTCTCCACGAATACAAAAAGCTCGGCTGGCTTTTGCCATCTCACGCCACCTGTGGCGCCCCGTGATATCCGATTGCCTATTAAGGGTCGCATGTACTCCACACCACAGTTCTACTCTATGACTGTGAAACATCGCCATTGAAGGTGGAAGACATGAGAAGGCATCAGGTGTTTGACCACCGTTGACTTCGTAGTATAGGCCGTATTTCGTGGTGTCACCTCGTGAGTGAGCAACGCACAAGTCAGGTGTAGAGTTTTAGGGAGAAGAGGTAAATCTGTTGACACGGTTGTGAACCTTCATCGACTGAGATGGTTAAGACATGTGTTATGTATGCCTAGTCGCCATCTGCCTCGTCACACAATCTTGGTCGAAGTAGTAGTCTCAGACTGGAAAAAGGCTCGAGGTGGCCAGACTAAAACATGGCACCAATGTATGAAGTCTCTGACTGTTGGTTTGAGCGATGTAGGGAGGCGATGCAGACTAGGTGGTTGGGGTTCGCGACACAAGGAGAATCAGTGGTTGGAGACTGACTCTAGGTGACGATGTGGCTCAGAACTGATGTCAGTGGCGCAGATGTATCTCCACACACATTATTCTCATCTTAACGATGCTATACCGAATCTCACCATTTTCTCGTTTTTCCTTTCTCTCTTTTAGTACTTTATATTCCTTCTGACTGAATTTTCTTTTCTCCACCTTCCACTTCACTGCCTTTTTACTTGATGTAGTGATATGAGGTGTGGCAACTCGGGCAGTTATGCAGTAATGCTTGGTCCTATATTGATATAGATGATGATTTATTATTCCGAGTAAGGTTGACTATATGAGTTTTAACTAAATTGATAATCATTATAGATCTAGGTGAATGTCAGCTCTTTAAAGGGAATTGCATATTGTCTTTATAACTTTGTAGTGGAAATGGAAATCTCAGACAGTTTTCAACTGAGAATTACAGTTATATATGGAATAATCTGGAACGTTGTTAGTTTACAAGACTTGATTGTGTTTAACAGTGACATTTATAGTTGACTTAGTGCTTGGAAAGATCTCTAGAGATAATAATGACAGGTATATCCGGCTGACGAGTCCCACAGTGGGCGAAAAGTACGTCCTGGATCCCACCACCACCCATTATTATTTGAATCATAACAGTGAATATTCATGTAATCTCCAACCATCTGCATACGAGCTTATCTGACAAAAAAGATTGATCATTTCGATTAAGTATAACAACGGGAAAATAGAAGTGGTTACTGGTTCAAATCCGGCCACGGTCCAAATTTTTATTTCACCTTCAATCATCACCCAGTATGTCGATAAATAATTGTAAAAAAAGCAGGTTTTCTAAATGTATGTTTTTTCCACTACTCTTGTGAACATAGTTACCCTTGGCATACTGAAAGGTTAATATCATTATTTTTAAATGAATCCTAAGTTTTCAATGGTTCTCCAACTCAGTCCATGATAAATAATACATCGATATACAGGCATATATATATATATATATATATATATATATATATATATATATATATATATATATATATATATATATATGAAAGAGGGTAGTGGTTGAAGATGAAAAGTAAACTATGGTGTCGATAAGGTTTCAGCCAGCGGACTCTAGTTTACCAGATCACAGTTATCTTACACATACTACCAACAATGGCATCAGGTTTCACCCAAACAAAACAACACTGTATGCGGTAATTAGTCTAGTACCTTCAGTCACCTTAGGTCTAATATCTTGCTTTATTACCAAAGGAAATTAATGCATTCACGAATAATACTTAGGTGTATTCAACTTCTTTTCACATGTTGTCAAGTCCTCCTCATGAAATATGAAAATCAGAGAAGAGTTATGTGTGGATACATGGATAGGAGGTAGTTTTTGATCACTTCTAAGGAATATTTAATTTTTTTATATGTGCAATTAGCCAATTACAAGGTAAACTAATGTCAGTAATCCAGCTTATCTTCTCTTTGTAACAAGTATTATTATTGGCATCAACATAATTTGTTATTGGTTTCAAAGCGGACATTATTAATACGGTTAAAATCTTTAAAATGATATTTTTACCCACATCATCAAGTCATTCACCTGTCAACAGTCATTAGTCTATTGAGTTTTGAGTAAACTAACAACAGAAAATAGAAATCACTTTAACAACAATTGGAAATCATAAATTAGTGAACATATATCGATTGTTTTTTTTTCTTTATCGGAATGGTATTAAGGAGTGTAGCAGCTAACAATGATAACCTTAAGATTCTAGTCATGAGAACAGAGTATATACATAAACATTTTCTCAAGCTTATTTTAAACTCATATACATCTAGGTAACCTCGCCTGGTTAACTAGTTCACTAGTTACTAGCCGGTCCTAAGCCCGAGTAAAGAGGGAAGGTTGGGCACAGGGCTAGCAACCCTACCCCGTAAAACAAATCTAACCGCTAAAGAAACTTCAAAGCACAAACAAAATATAAAAAATGAAAACAAACTTATTCCCCGCTGGAATCGGAGAGGCGAAATGACGCCAGTTGGTGAAAGCCTTCGGGAAGCCAATTGGCCGATGTGTCTTCTCTGCTCTCGATGAAAGCGAAAGTAAACGTGGGGACATGGAATGTCCGTACGATGTTTGAACCCAGTAAGGCAGACCAGATTGCAAAGGAGCACGTTGGTTAATTGTTTTAAGATGGATTTCTTGAAGCTGTAGGGAGAAATTTTGAAGTGTCGACTCAGTCAAGTCGGTTGTGAGGACGAATACTCACTGAAGGCTTTGGATAACGGTCATACAATATCGTCATCTGATAGAAGTAGGAGGCTGTAGATCAGAATTCTGACTCAATGGCTTGTTGTTAACATGTTCACCATGATACCTGTCATTTCTAGTCTTCATTCTTGATGGGGTCATGGGTGAGCATTGTTGAGGAGTCATAAAGTAGTGCGAAACAAGTGCTCAGTGTTCTCAGATTTTGACAGTTCATTAACTTATCCTGAAATGAAATATCATATTACTCTATAATGTCATGTTTTTTATGCCGTAAGGAATGTTAGATCTCCTAAAATATAGCTGTTTACATTAATTGTGCAATTTGTAACTTCCTTCATGTAGTTTGAGTCGTACTATTCCTAGAGAATCTCAAAGGTATAATTATACAAGTAATATATAACTATCAGTAGTGCTTTTGAAATGTAATATTAAAGCTTCATTCTATGAACTTGAGTCTTTTCCTACTTAAACTAATTGGAGATTTTCCATTTTGACGTATTCAGAACTGATTCATGTGTATCTATTCACAAATAAATCAATTTTAAATTGACTTACATCATGAGAAGAAACAAGTGATAGTAATTATTAAAAACAGTCTTAAAAGACCCTACTGAATAACAAAATGCAGTTCATTATTTTGATATTATTATTATTATTATTATTATTATTATTATTATTATTATTAGTCCCTTGGGTTCCTAGTGGAACATAGGGCTTCAGTAGCACGCCTCCAGTGACCTCTGTTCTCTGAGATCGTTTGGACCTGGTCCCACGACAGCCCACAAGCTCTCATTTCCTCCTCGCACGACCTCCTCCATGTCACTCTTGGACGTCCAACTCGTCGCTTCCCATGGGGATTCCACTCGAGGGCCTGGCGCGTGATGTCCTCAGTCGGCCTTCTCAGTGCATGGCCAATCCATCTCCACTTCTTCCTGCATATTTGTTGCGTGATAGGTTCTTGGTTGGTTCGTTCCCAGAGTTCCTTGTTGCTTATTCTTTCTGGCCATCTGATCCTCAGTAGCGAGCGTAAGCAGTTGTTGATGAATGTCTGTAGTTTATTGGAAATGCCTTTCGTGACGCGCCAAGTCTCTGAACCATACAGGAGCACTGATTTGACTGATGTTGGTGTTGAAAATCCGTATCTTGTTCCGCATGCTGAGTGCAGAAGATCTCCACACTGGTTTCAGGCTAATGAACGCCTGTCTTGCTTTTCCGATTCTGACTTTGACGTCTTCGTCCGTCCCGCCTGTAGTTGAAACAGTGCTTCCTAGATAAGTGAAGGAGGTTACTTCCTTTAAGTTTCTCCCGTTGACGGTGATTGGAGTTTGTTGTTGTTGTTGATGGTGGTGGTGCGCTATCTTTATCACTTCTGTCTTCTCTATATTCACCTGAAGTCCCGTCTTCGCTGCCTCTTCTATCAACTTGTTAGTTTTTGCCTGTAGATCTTCAAGTTTATGTGACATTAGGCACAAGTCATCGGCGAAATCCAAGTCTTCTAGGTTCTTTTCCGCCGTCCAGCGTATCCCCCTCTTCTCGCTGCCCACTGTTTGCTGCATGATCCAGTCCACCACAATCAGGAATATCATGGGGGATAGTAGGCAACCTTGTTTCACTCCTGTCTTCACTTCACTTCAAAAGTATCACTGAGCTTCCCATTGTGAATTAATTGGCATGTGGCATCTTCATATAGTTGTTGAATGAGGCGGATAAAGGTTTGCGGCACTCCGTAGTATTGAAGCAGTTTCCAAATTACTTCTCGGTCGACGCTGTCAAACGCCTTCTCAAAGTCGATGAAGTTGAGGCAGAGAGCTGATTGCCATTCTATGCTCTGTTCTATGATGATGCGAAGCTTTGCAATTTGGTCTGCACATGATTTGTACTTCCTGAAGTCAGCCTGCCTGTTCCGGTCGTAGTTTTGAATCCAGTGCATCTTTAAGCCTCTCCAGGATGATGCGGCTTAATATTTTACTTGGGGTGGACAGAAGAGTGATTCCGCGCCAGTTCTTGCAAGCACTGAGGTCTCCTTTCTTCGGCAGTTTGACAAGGTAACCCTTCTTCCAATCAACCGACAGGTACCTTCTCTTCCTTCCACACCTTCTGCAATAGTGGTGTGAGCATGTCCGCTGTTGTCTCTGCATCTGTTCTCAGTGCTTCTGGCGGTATTCCATCTGGTCCTGCTGCTTTCCCGCATTTCAGTAGCTTTATGGCGTTCACGACTTCCATTTTCGTTGGGGGATTTATGTTCACTTGTAATTCAGCGGCTGCAGGTGGTATTTCTGGACGAAGTGCAGGTGGTGGTCGATTCAAGAGCTTCTTGAAGTGGTCGGCCCATCGTTTCCTCTGTTTCTCTTCTTTTGTAATTAAATTTCCTTCTTCATCTTTTATTGGTTTCATCTGTGTTGGTCTCTTCCCAGATAATAACCTGGTTATTTGATACAATGTCGTCAGGTCTCTCTTACCTGCAGCCTGTTCTGCTTCACTTGCCAGTGTTTCGTAGAAGTGTCTTTTGTCTTTCCGTGCACTCTTCTTTACTTCTTTGTCCAGTGTTTTATACATTGTGCTCAGTTCCTCTTGTCGTTGAGCATCCTTGCACTGGTTTATCTTCTGTTTCACCATCCTCCTCTCCCTTCTCTATCAGCTTCCAGGTATCCATCGAGATCCATTCCTTGTCTTCTTTCTTCTTCCTTCCTAATACTGTTGTGCAGGTTTCTTTCCACATCTCTTTCAAAGATTTCCAGTGTTCTTCCACACAGGTTTCTTCAGGGATGTTGCTCGATGTCTCCCATTTTGTCTTGATGGCTGCCTTGAAGACCTCCTTTGTAGTTTCATCCTTCAGTTTCCGAGTGTTGTACTTGGACTCTGGTCTATCACCAGCATCCTTGAAGGCTTTTAACTTGATTTGGAAGGTTCCTTGCACTAGATAGTGAGTGGTCTGAACCTACATCTGCTCCTCTTTTTGACCTCATGTTCAGTAGACTGCCTCTCCATTTTCTTCATATTGAGATAAAGTTGATTTGATTTTTAGTGTGTCCATCTGGTGAAATCCATGTCGCTCGCTTTGTGGATATCCTTGTGCTTGAACACACTGCCTCATTGCAATCACCAAATCGTTGAATACACAGAATTCTGCAAACAATTCTCCATTCTCATTCATTTCACCTAGCGCCTCTCGACCCATGGTTAGTTCTCTTCCCGTGTTGTCCCCTCCCAGTTTGGCATTCATGTCGCCCATCAGAATTTTGATATCGCCAACTGGCGTCTTGTCCAGTGTTGATTGAAGTTGTCTGTAGAATTCCTCCTTTTTCTCTCGCTCTGCATTATTTGTAGGTGCATAGTGTAGCATTGTATGATTGTGACCTTTCTTCCTTTGGAGTTGAATCTTGCTGTCATGATCCTGGAGGAGATTGGTTCCTACTGCATGAGAGCCTTCGATGCTCTTGGGGACATCATGATAGCCACTCCCTTAGTGTGCTGGTGGTTGTCGTCTGGGTGACAATATCGGAGTAGATTATTGATTCTCCAGTTGACGGTTTGGATAGTCCACTCCCATTCCATCTGCTTTCGCAAATCCCAAGCACTTCGATGTGATACCTTCTCATCTCCTTTGCAATCTGGTCTGCCTTACTGGGTTCAAACATCGTACGGACATTCCATGTCCCCACGTTTACTTTCGCTTTCATCGAGAGCAGAGAAGACACATCGGCCAATTGGCTTCCCGAAGGCTTTCACCAACTGGCGTCATTTCGCCTCTCCGATTCCAGCGGGGAATAAGTTTGTTTTCATTTTTTATATTTTGTTTGTGCTTTGAAGTTTCTTTAGCGGTTAGATTTGTTTTACGGGGTAGGGTTGCTAGCCCTGTGCCCAACCTTCCCTCTTTACTCGGGCTTAGGACCGGCTAGTAACTAGTGAACTAGTTAACCAGGCGAGGTTATTATTTTGATATAATTTGTATTAAAGTCATAGTATTGGGTGGTGGATGACGATCGAAAGTGAAATGAAAATCTGGATCGTTATAGGATTTATATCAGTGACCTACTTGTTACCAACATTGTGCTTTATTAACTAAACTAGGATACTCAACTGCTGACCAGATTTCAATTTCCTTCCAATCATCAAGAGTTTCACCCAACTGACAGATCAATTCGTGACACATTATTACTTAATCGTACACTAGCTGCTCAGTCAAAACTTCTCATCCCAACCCATACTATGCTGAATTAGAGAAAGGCGGTATCATATTGACTATCTGAGATAGCTGTAGTTTGGCAGACTTGTATTCATACTACATCGTGATTGGAGGAGAAATGAAAACCTGGGCCTCAGCAGGACACATGATAACATGACATACATCCTTCTGGATAGATGATTCTGTATTGTCAAATCGTTGGACAGAGATGATTCCATATTTAGTGTATTATATGTGTTAAGAGTATGAATAACAGATTTAGACTTGTATGTACACGTGTGCTGATAGTTCTTATTGCATGTGTGTTGGTCATGTCAGTATGTGAGGGTGGGTGGGAACCAGGTCTATTTACGTTCTATTCCCTCATTCCTATTTAGACAACTTTGATTCCTTTTTATATGAAGAGATTCTGTTGGAAGATGCTCTTTGCAATCTCTAAAGCATTTTTAAATAGTTTTGACATTGTCATAGTCGACGTTATGACCTGAAATTAGAACGTGTGAAGCTATGGTTGAAGTGTTTTCTAGCTATTTTAGCTCTACTGAATTTCTAGCGGGTCGGGTGGAGCCATTCGTTGTTTATTTTTTCGTAATTTTGATCCTAAGTGAAGTTTGTGGCATTAAAATTGCACCGTAGTCTGAGCACTTTATCTCATAAATATAATTAAATTCTGAATTCAGAGAGATCTCTTGCTACAAGGTTGGGAGAAGGCTTAAGGTGGCCAAACCAAAACGTGTCACCAGTTGATGAAGTCCTTGAATGTTGGTTTGAGCTATGTGGAGAGATGTAGACTACCTGATGGGCTAGGGTCCCCGAGACGACAGGAATCAGTGGTTGAGAACTAACTGTTGATGACATGGCTGAAAATTGACCACAGTGGTGCAGTTGTATTCATTCCTTGACGTCTTATGAAGTTTGATTGCGTTGACTAACCTTAGCTTTTAGATTCCCTCACTTCGCATTCGCGTTTGTCTACTTTGATATCAGTCTCTGCCTATCCACTTATTCTTTGTATACCACTGTGAAGTGTAGCAAGATGAAAAAATACATTTCTATGAGAGATGTTACGTTGGTTTTGTCTACGTCTGATTTGGAAAAGCATTCCATCCAGTTCTTGTAAAGGAATATTCCATGGTGCAAAATGAAACTACACAGGTAGCAAATAAGAAATCATATATGAATTCTTTTAACCACGAAATAGCACTGTATGAATCTGATGACAACATTCTCAAGGATACTAAAAAAAATGTAAACTTAAGCCACACATGTACCATTAGTCTAAAGGGATTATACCGAACTCGAGCCTACAATACTCTGAGTTCTTTAATATCAGGAAGCGATTACGTAATCACGCAGGAAGTAGACGATATCTCAGATGAATACAAGAGGCATCTGCGAAATAACACAGTTAATTTAATCTATAAAACAAAGTGAATAGAAAGAAAATGCAGTTCATTAGGTAGCCAGGATTGACACATTACTGTAGCTTCCTACCTGAAATACAAAAGCAGTTCATCTTTCGTTCTCACAGATAACACTGGTGTCTACAACACAATGTAAGTAGCCATAAAAATGAATGCTAGTGACACTATAGATCTACTGTACCTGTATCATACAAAACATGAACAAATTCCAAGTAATGTCACTAGTAACTCGGATGTATACATTACCAATCCCTTATTCAACGACTATATGAAGACGCCACATGCCAAGTAATTCGCAGTAGGAAGCTCAGTGATGCCTTTGAAGTGAAGATAGGAGTAAAACAAGGCTGTCTAGTATCACCCATGATCTTCCTGATTGTGGTAGACTGGATTACGCTACAAACTATCAGGAGCGAGAAGATAGGCATACATTGGACCGGGGAGAAGATCCTAGAAGGTTTGGATTTCGCCAGTGATGACTTGTGTCTCATGTCTTGTGACACAAACTTAAAGATCTACAGGCAAAAACTAACAAGTCGACAGAAGAGGCAGGGCGGCGAAGACGGGACTTCAAGTAAATGTAGAGGAGACGGAGGTGATGAAGATACCCAACCAACACCACGAACAACAACAAGCACCAACCACCATGAATGGGAGAAACCTAAAGGAAGTAGTCTCTTTCAATTACCCAGCATCGTTCCAACTACAGGCGGTACAGACGAGGACGTCAAATCCAGTCAGGATCGGAAAAGCAAGACAGGCCTTCATTAACCTGAAACCAGTGTGGAGATCTGCTTCACTGCACTCAGCATAAAGCGTGAACAATATCCGGATTTTCAACACTAATTCAGTCAAGTCAGTGCTTCTTTATGGTTCAGAGATTTGGCACGTTACGAAAGGGATTTTCAACAAACTACAGATAAACCATACTGGGACATCGCGTGCTAGGCACTCGAGTGGAACCGAAATGGAAAACGACAAGTTGGACGTCGGAGGTGATGATGACATGGAGGAAGAAATGAGAGCTTGTGGGATATCATGGAGCCAGGTTCAAAAGATTGCAGAGTAGATAGTGGAACGGAGACGTGCTACTGAAGCCCTATGTTCCACTAGGAACCCAAGGGACTAATAAATATAATAATAATAATACATTGCCAATCAGTTAACAGACAGACAAAATTAACGTAGAACTTCACACGCAACTGCATAGTTTCAAGTTACCACAGTAGTACACAAAGAGCAAGTGGATAAAAAAAAGTGATGTCTAAGTAGAAAAACTTGTGTGGAAATATTCAAGCTTTAGAAGAAGCCAAGAAGTGAATAAAACTGGGCCACTGTGACCAATTTTCAGCCTTGTCACTAAGAGTCAGTTCTCAACCAGTGATTCCTGTCGTCTCGGGGACCCTAGCCCGTCAGGTAGTCTACATGTCTCCACATGGCTCAAACCAACATTCAAGGACTTCATCAACTGGTGACACGTTTTAGTCTGGCAGTCTGAAGCCTTGTTCAAACCTTATGTAACTTCGCCTAGCATCGTACGTCGAGGTAGGCAGTGTCAGTCAGTCAGGTACAATGGTGCTAATGTATACATTCTTTGTCATTTGAATTTCAAGTGTTTACATTAAAATTTATTAATTTATCACCTCTTGTCTCAAACACATTTTTCTACTTTATTCCCTTTAATTTTCTATCCACCTGTTCTTCGCATACCCCTGTAAAGTATGGCAACTTGAACTAATGGGCATCAATGTTAGGTTCCAAGTTGATTTATCTATTTTGGTTTATACAGACAGTTTATTTGATGATTAGAGAGAAAAAAATTAGACCACTGTGTAAATTGTATGTCATCATGTAACAATATACAAAGTAAGGAAATCATAAATATAATACTTAGAAGGGAGGGAATCACTTCTCTCAACTTTTCAGGTTACTTGTTTAAAGAGGTATGTCTGGACATATACAAAAACATATCTTATTATCAATAAGTGTAGGAATCTTTTGAAAATTTGATAAATCACTACAAAAACTGTAATATTAATGATATAATTTACATGCTCTTGATTAAGAATTGAGTAATAATGCACTTCAGGTTGATGACTTCATTCTTTTTAGAATATTAAATTTGATGATAATAACATTATTTTTTAATTGAAAAAACACCCTTCCACAAGGGCTGCTTATATCATTTCCATTGTCTGTTGCTAAGATTATGCATTAAAAAAATTTTTTTAATCATGTGCTAGTTATAATAATATTCTGGTGATGGATAATTGTAGTCTTATTGATTAGTTTTATCTGCATACTTCTTAATAAGTCATATATATATATATATATATATATATATATATATATATATATGCATCACACGTAAATACTTTCATCATTCTATATCAAATAGGCATAGTCATTAGGTAAGCTTATATTTTGGTAATTTGGTTGGTTGTGGTTGGTAGAGGAATCCAGA